TGGTCACAGCAAAGAGGAGCTAGAGGAGACATGACCACCAAATGCAAAGTTTCATCACATACACGATGTGTTCTCTGTTGGCAAGTTAGAGGCCTCAGTCTCAATCGCACTGTCTCATGCGCTATCACCTCTGTGCCAGTAGGGGTGGCTGACATAACCCACCAAATTCAGAGCCTGGTCTCCCAGTGAAGTTCACTGGAACTCTGGGCACATCCACAATGCTCAGTCCCTCCAGGAGTGAAGGAAAGATCCTTGTTTCCTTGGTTTCCCATCACATAGAAGGAAGCCCAGCCCTTCCTGGACTCCTGGAGTATGAGAGACAGCACACATCACTGTGAGTCGTTGGAGCCTCTGACAAAGGGAGGCAATCTCCATGGGAAGCCCCACGGGTGTATGAACTTGGGCACTCTGCAATATAACTATATGGTGTACTTTTTAGAATTAGTGATTATCTTGTTAGTGAGCTCTCGTCAAATAACCCTTAAAAACCTTGGGGTATCTTGGCATGGTATTCCAATTTTGGGAAGTGTCAACATGGACTCCCCTTCTGACAAGGTTAGAAGGGCACCAAAATTCCATGTCCCATGGAAAGTGCATATTCACAAATGAAGACATATGGGTCCTAGCAACATGTCAGCTTGAGAAGAATCAGTGGTACCTACCCCTTTAGAGGACATTTTCAATTCCACACTATAGCCAAAGTCAATGGCACTAGGAAGCCACAATCATCAGAAAGTGTCCTCAAAGCACGTCCCTGTTCACTGATGGTTTAGGTAGGCTGCACCCTAATGGTGTCCAGTGGGCCACTGGGTCTGGTTAGTGTCAGTGCTGGCTCTGCAGATCTGAAACCAGAGGCAGTTCCTTCCTCCATTGGTCACATCTCAGATTCCTCAGCTGCTGCCAGGGGTCTAGCTGTTAAGTGTACCTCTTGGAAATCTAGGGCAGATTACGGACCATCTTGCCTTTCTTGAGGTGTGACCCGTGGAAACCAACTGCAGTGCTGAAATACTTGTCTGGGTTATTCATTCAGATGCCCATGGTGAGGCCTGTTCTTTACACAGTTTGCCCAGAATCAAGCTGCTGACTGAGACTGAGGTATCTGTGCATGGCACACTTGTGACTCCTGGTAAAAGTTGACCCTTCTGTTTTTATGACTCATGAGGCCCGGACCTGTGTGTGGGACCACTGACACCCCCAGCCCCAGGATTAACACTGGTGCCTCATCGCAGCTGACACTTTCAATCCACCTGTCAGCTGCCACCAGCTACACCACCTGTGCTCTTGAAAATAACGTGTGTCATATCCTAAACTTTCGGGAGCATTTGCATTCTGAGCACAGTAAGTCTCTTACAGAAAAAACTAGCTCCAAAAAATGAACCAGCAGTCCAACACCACCTCCCTAACCTCTGTAATCTTGATCAGAAATCCCAGCGATGGAATGTCTTGCCCAGAAATGCACACCTCATCTCAGCTTCTCCAAGATAATGAATAATGGAGGAACCAGGAGGTTGCATGAAAACATGTTCAAACTCCAAGGGCTACTCTGACCCTTTCTTGGGATGATGCGTCTTTCTTTCCCTTTAAGAGCAGCCACAGAACATCCTGGATGGTCATGTTCTCAAGGGCATCACAGAACAAGGAAGCCTAAGAGATCACTCAGTTAGGTATTGAGAACTGTGGTGGTGTTTCAGTGTTGTTGTTGTTGTTTTAATAAACTATTTTAGAACAGCTTTAGATGCAAAAATACAAAGATGATACAGATTTCCTACAGATACTCAGTTTCATTGAAGACTAATATCTTACATCAGTATCTACACTCGTGATAACTAATGAACCAATATCAATGCATTTTTCTTAACTAAAGTAAAAACTTTATGAGCATTTGCTGAATCTTTACCTAATGTCCTTTTTCTGTTCCAAGAGACCATCCAGACACTAAATCTTGTTTAGTGCTCATTTCTCCTGAGTTTCCACTTTGCCGTGTCAATTTATCAGATTTTTCTCATTTTTGATCATCCTGACAGACTTGAGGAGTACTAGTTGGGAATCCCGAAGGGCCCTCAGTTGCGATGAATGTGATAAATTTCTCATGATTATCGTGGGGTTCTGTTTTAGGGAAGAGGACCGAGGGTATGATGTGCCATTTCCAGTACAGTATATCAAGGGTACATTCCACCAACGTGACTTATCGCTGTTGACATCAACCTACATTCCCTGGATGAGGTCATGTGTATGAGGACTCCTCGGTGAGACCTATGCGACCCCTTTTCATACTGTACTATTTGCAGAGAAGTCACTGTGTGTGGCTGACATTTAGGATAGGAATGTTATGTTCTGCCTTCTTAAGGATAAAGTTTGTACATAAATTATGTGAAATTCTTCTAAAAAGGAGATCTCATTTCTCTGTTATTTATCGTGTGATTTCTTCATACCAGTTTAGACTCATACACATTTGTTTTATACTCCGAGTTATAATCCAATACTGCTGCTTCTACTCTTTTTTAAAATCAAAGTGTTAGGGGCACCTGGGTGGCTCAGTCAGTTAAGCAACTGACTCCTGATGTTGGCTCAGGTCATGATCTCACTGTTCATGAGATTGAGCACTTCATGGATCTCTACAGTGAAAGGACAGAGCCTGCGTGGGATTGTGTCTTTCTCCCTCTTTCTCTGCCCCTCCCCCGCTCCCATGTGTTCTCTCTCTCAAAATAAATAAACATTTTAAAGTATAATAATAAAATGAAGTGAAAGTGTTCCAGTTTGACCATGAGGAGCTCTTTCGGGTGACTCCCGTGTCCCTCTGACATAGCCCATTTTTAGAAACCGAGTTGTTTCGCATGTGCTGACTTACGGCACCGCAGCTCTGCAGGCTGATTTCATACACGTCCTGTCCTAGTCCAGGCTGCACCGTCTCTCCAGGCAGCCCCTGGCTGCTGCCGTGGGGGAACCGTGTCACGGACCAAGGCATGCTCACTGCTCCTGGGTGTCACTGTGTTCACGCCCTCTCAGCTCAAACACCAAGAAAACGTACGTGTGTGTGCTGAACCGCTCGTGTGCACATAGGTAGAAACGTGTGTGGGGGGCGACTGGTGTCCATACAGTCAACATGACTTCAGGCCGATGTCTCCAACTCCAACCCATTCCTCATGGATCATTCTAACTTCCTGCCCTTGCTCATCTGTCACCTGTCTCTCCAACGGTGACAAACGTGGATCTCACCATCTGCACTTGTGAGTCAAATGCATTTCTGGCCCAATTTGTATAGGATACCGGCCCTCTTGTGCCTGGTTCTTCCAGGCAAAACATCTGAGTAAACTATGGGATGGCCGCAAGAGAGCGGAAGTACAGGTAATGACATGGAACATTCCGAGGTAGAGGAGGAGGGACACCTGGACGCCTGGGAAGGGAACACCTTACACAGCAGGAGATCCGGGGGGAGGGGAGGGGCGGAGTATTAAGGATCATTCATCTTACAGGACTCCCCCTGGACAATGGCATTCTAGGGGGGCTGCATGGCAGGGACACCATCCCGCTAGGCCCGGAGGACACTTCCAGACAAAGAACATCACCCTTGGGCTTTGAAATCTAAGGGAATTTTCCCTCCTAGATTTTTTACTTACTGGGGACAGGTGACATTTCTTCTTTCCAGTTTCTCTATGCTTGTCTATACTCTCCCATCCCACCACTGTATTCAGGAAGCAGGGAATGTGTATGCATTCATAGGTTGATAGGTGAAGACAGGTTTTTCACAGGATGAATCCTATCTCAAGTCTTAATCACACTACTTAGGTGATATTTAGATGAGATTTGGGACTTAGAGTTGCTTCCAAAATAAGTTTACACTTTGGAGCTACTGGAACGGGGAGGAGGGGTGAATGTATTTTGTCAGTGAGGATATGCATTTGGGGGTCTTGAGGGCTGAATATTATGAACCAACCTGTTTCCCCCTGAATTGATAGGCTGAAGTCCTAAATCCCAGGATCCCATTACTCGATTGTACTCACTCCGACTGATATGCCCGTGCGTACACTCCTGGGTAACCACTCCATCTCACTCCGGAGTCAAGACCAAATCCGCTTTTTCCATTAAGCAGCACTGATTAAACTGCCATCTTCAGGATACCAGGCACCACAATGAAACAAAACTGCTTCATTCATGGCCACTTTGTCCACATATGTCCCATACTCAACCATTTGATGAAAGGTCGGCGTGCATCAGTGTCCACCTTAGAAACTCCTCTGGTTCCTTCTTAGAATTTCTATGGACTTTGGGGCACCTGGGGGCTCAGTCAGTAAAGCGTCCAACTTCAGCTCAGGTCATGATCTCGTGGTTCATGAGTTTGAGCCCACATAGGGCTCTGTGCTGACAGCTCAGAGCCTGGAGCCTGCTTTGGATTCTGTCTCTCTCTCTCTGCCCCTTCCCCACTCACATGCTCTTTCTCTCTCAAAAATAAATGAAACATTAAAAAAAATTTTTTTAAGTATTCTATGGAGTTTTTCAGCAAATGCAGTGAATATAAAACGACATTGGGGGCGCCTGGGTGGCACAATCGGTTAAGCGTCTGACTTCAGCCAGGTCACGATCTTGCGGTCCGTGAGTTCAAGCCCCGCGTCAGGCTCTGGGCTGATGGCTCAGAGCCTGGAGCCTGTTTCCAATTCTGTGTCTTCCTCTCTCTCTGCCCCTCCCCCGTTCATGCTATGTCTCTCTCTGTCCCAAAAATAAATAAACGTTGAAAAAAAAATTTAAAAAAAAAAAAAGAAAAAAAATGATTACGGGGGCGCCTGGGTGGCTCTGTCAGTTGAGCGTCCGACTTTGGCTCAGGTCATGATCTCACGGTTTGTAGGTTTGAGCCCCACTCTGGGCTCTGTGCTGACAGCTCAGAGCCTGGAGCCTGTTTCAGATTCTGTGTCTCCCTCTCTCTCTGCCTCTCCCCCGTTCATGCTCTGTCTCTCTCTGTCCCAAAAATAAATAAACGTTGGAAAAAAAAAAAAAACGACATTGTGCACAAACATACTTTATATATCCCCAGTAACACTACAGGATTTTGTGTTTTGTATCCAGGAAAAGCAGCATCTGGGGAGAGTATAGTCTCGGCTCATAATGAAAAAGGGGCAGACAGTTGGAAAACACACAGAGATCACCACAGTGGTGTTCACCAGCCACAAACTGGGATTATCAGTATAAGCAACACTAACATGAAAGATGGAGGAGAGGGAGTGGAAAGACACAAAGGTGCTCACCAGGACAAGGATGCTCTGAGTGGCTCTGGACTCAGCAGAGGATCTGGGGGAGACATTAGTGCTGTGAATGTGCTGGACCCGCTGCTTGTGCCTGTGCAGGAGGAAGACCATGGAGCCACTGGCCCAGATCATGAGAACAGAAAATAAAACCTCAGGGACTACTATCAACACTGCATAGAGTAGGACTGTCACTGCCTCCTGATGGATAGTAAAACAGTACCCCAAATCTCCTTCCTGTGTGATGTTTTTGGTGCTCCATTGGCTAGGCATATATAACACATACAGAGGAAACACTAAATTTATAAATGTGTAATGATTCCAGCAGAGGAAAATGGAGAAGCCCACATATTTTGGGGGTTTGACTTTAAGATCCTTCCAACAGGAGTTCATCGGGCTGATCGTGATGGTCTGGAAGACACTCAAGAGGCAGGTGCTGCTAATGGACAACCCCCTGCCCACTCTCTGAACGTACAAAAAAAGTTTGCATGCAAATGTAGTGAAAAAAGATTTCAATCCCAAAGCTGCCAAGGTCTGGGGGGCTCCTTCAGAGAGAATGACCAAGGAGTTGGCTATAGTCAAGTGCATGAGAATCAAACGGGTGAACCTCAGCCTGCGTTCAGTGTGGTAAAGGGACACGTAATGATAAAGAAGAACGAAATTGCCCACAATTCCAACTGTCGTCTGTGACAAGAAGATTATTCCTACTGTCAAATGCCCTGAAGCTAATCTGTCATACATGTTTTCCTTTATATTATGAACAACAATCATTTCTCCGGGCAAAGCCTCACTGAAGGTTTTTTACACCACAAATAACATGAATTGAGTGCTCCCATTTGATTGCCATGACTTCCTGTGATTGGAAGAGATGGAGATATTTGCAGTATATTTAACTGAAAAGTCCGCAGTAAGGATGAAGTGCTGTTATCCTGGAGAAGCAATGACAGGTGAGAGCAAATGGAAAGAAAGCACAAGGCAACATTTTCAGAACAACCTGAAATGTGCAAGTTATATTGGAAAAAGGAAAACTTGATCACTATCACTTCCTGAAACGAATTAAGTCTGACTGGATTGCTTACATAAATCTTAAAGGTACAATGGATTCATCCTGAAAAAGGAAAAAAAAATGTCTATACCTTAGAACACGAAAATATTTCTTGAACAGCACAGAGCACATTAACCATGCCAGTAAAATGACTTTGTATTACATGAATGGGTGGTTCTCATCCAAACATCCCCACCACACACACACAATTTGTAACCAGCAGAAAGAATTCCTGAAGACCACACAATAGAATAAACAATGGACAAACCATTCCAACAGAAACTTGAAATAAGAGGTTACGCAATAGATAATACAGGTGTAAAAATGTTCTATGTCTATAGTAGTCACATAATTTCAAATATGACACTACCGCCTGGTGCCATCAAACACGACATAAAAATCTAAAACAAGGAGGACAGGGGTGCCTTGTTGGCTCAGGTGGAAGACCATGAGACTCTTGATCTCAGGGTTGTGAGTTCAGACACAACATTGGGTACAGAGATAACTAAAATAAACAAACGTTAAAAAAAAGAATAAAAGGAGAATGAGAGAAACAACAAGTCTTTGCAAACTTGTGGATCAACCAAGAATCTTGAAACTACTGGCAAACATGAAAATTTGGAAACTGTGTGGTAGTATAAACTTTAGCTGTCTTGGATATACTATGTCCCAACAAATATACAGCTATGAATATACTCAACAAAGTTTGTCTGGTATCCCTAAAAGACTGGTTACAGAATTATATACCAGCACTACTCGGTACTCATAGTAGTCCAAACTCAGGAATACCTACTTCCCATTAACAGGACCAGCCATCGGTGAATGTTTTCATAGTCACACCATGGAGTCTTCTACAGCAGATCTAAAATGCTAACAAGACTACGCAAGAATACAAATCAATTTTCAAAAGTCATATGGCATGAGAAATAAGTCATCATTACACATTCAGGCAGTATGACTCCATGTATATCAAGTACAAAATGGGAAAAGTGATCTAATCTTTCAAATCTTGGAGAGTTATCAACCTATTCCCAAACATCACAATCCTACAAATATAGCCAAGAAAACTATACCTGTGGGGACAGTGACTTAGAGAGAACACAAGAAGATACCCGGAATTCTGACAACCACCTGTTTCTTCATCTTGGAATTGCATACACCAGTGTGGTCACTTATGAAATACCAGTGAGTTGCATCATTAAAACGTGTAGATCTTCTAGTTTTTAAAATACAAACCATCAAAATAAAATTTCAGGGAGCTGAGAAGATTCTGTGCATGTGTTTGGCTTGCTCAATGAGTCCGTACAGAAAGAAAACTTATGGACCAAAAGGTCCAGATTGGAGGTCAACGATGAAACATCACAGAATAATAATGGTGCTTATAATGAGTCTGAGATTTGGTTTAAAAATATTCAGGAGAGCAGCATCCTAAATATTTGTTCCTTCTTGCTATATTTGCCATAGGAGTAACGATATTTACCAGCACATACAGGGTCCGCAAAGGACAATGGAAACCCCAATATCCTGGGGAGGTTTTAGCTAATCTCCACCCACCTAGAGGTCTCGGGGCAAAGAGGCAGCTGGTGCCAATGAACACACTCTGCCAGCGTTGTCAGGACAGAAAACAGATGTGCACTCAGAAATGCATCGAAGAATGTTTCAACTAATGGCTGCCAATGTCTTGGGGACACCTGTAAAAGGAAATGACCAAGAAGCAAGTATAATCAGGTGCCTAAAAATCACATCTCAGGCTCTCAACCTGGATTCCCTGTAGAAGAGGAAGAGACGATGGTAAAGAAGTGAGAAAATGCCAAGGATTCCAACCATCATCAATGAAGAGGAAACTGTTCTCATTGCCAAATCCTGGAGTCCATTCTGACAGATCCCAGTGAGTAATACTGGTCTTCAGAATCCGAGTATCCTGCACTGGAACATGTCTTTTTGACTGCATGTATCATATCAGTTGAGACACATTATCTCTGGGAAACATATTTACTTCAGTTTGACTGTGTCAAGGTGCCTCCCACAGTGGAAAAAATAACCTTTATTTTTTTTTTAACGTTTTATTATTTTTGAGACAGGGAGAGACAGAGCATGAGCAGGGGAGGGTCAGAGAGAGGGAGACACAGAATCTGAAACAGGCTCCCGGCTGAGCTGTCAGCACAGAGCCCGACGCGGGGCTCCAACTCACGGACCACGAGATCATGACCTGAGCCGAAGTCGGCCGCTTAACCGACTGAGCCACCCAGGCGCCCCCAAAAAATAACCTTTAAATACCACTTAAAATGCATGAATCACTGCCTACTACCATACGTATGGAATCTTTTTTCTTTTCCTAAAGGCATGATGGAGGCACGAACATTATTTCCATGGCAGAGATAAAGACAAGCTAGGCACACAGGGTAAGCAATCTAAGTTCACACATTGGTTAGGGGCCGAGTGGAGACTGGAACCTGGCACGTTGGAGCGAAGACAGTGTCTGAACCTCTGTACTCCACTAACAATGCACGTCAGCTGTGCCTTCAAATAATCCAGATGCATATTTAATTTTGCATTTATACTTTTCCATCTTATTTCATACTATATTTTATTTTATATGTTTGGTGTAAAAAGCATACATTTTTCATTAAGGATATTTTATTTAGGTGAATAACATATGTAAATAAAGTTTTAGTATCATAATAAAGTTCAGAGGCATGAATTACAGGCTAATCCTGCAGGAGACATCCCTGTGTCCACATTAGATTTAATAAATGCAGTATTTGCTAACAATACTTTGGCAGTAGAAAGCGTCATTTCCTGTCACAGTAAGAACAAAAGTCATGGCTTCCACACACAATATTACATCATAGTACCTTGTTCTCTAATCAATGGTTTATAAAATCCTACTATAAGATGAAACAGTTATTGATGATTATGTTTTAAATGCTGAGGTATTTAACAAAATGTGCATTGAGTGAAACTATTAGCACTAAGGCAAGATTGTAAAAGACAGTAAAATACAAGACACACGTAAAATGGTTCTAACAATATGGAATTGTGTGTGTCATGTAAGTTAAAAATCATTAGAATATTAGTTCTGAGAGTGGGATTCATATTAGAATATTATTAAACCAGAGAGAATGAGCCAAGATTCACATGCCCTAGGGACCTCTTGTCTGGTCCCATAATTACAGTGAACTTTGCCCCAACTGACTCTTGGTTCCTGCTCTGGTATGATGTCATGGTTTTGTGAGTTTGAGCCCCATGTTGGGATCCCCATGGACAGTGCAGAGCCTGATAGGGATTCTCTCTCCCTCTCTCTCTGCCCCTACCCCATTCTGCTATCTCTATCTCTCTCAAAATAAAGAAATAAACGTATTTTTAAAAAATTCTAAAAACAGATTCATCTACACGATCTCTGTAAGAGATTAGAAAACTTTTTCTGCTCTACCCTTCTCTGTATTATAAGCATAAGGCATTGTAAGCACACCTCTACTGACACTGAAAACTCTCAGCTCACACCCAAGGAACTGCTCCACCTCCCTCTTCAGCTCTTCCCCTGGTCTGTCCCGACCCTCAGGATCCCTTTCGAGACACGAACACTTACTCTGTACACGTCCTTCCTTACAGGCGCTGCCTCTCAGTCTGACATAGGAAGAACTCACTGGACTCGTCACGTTGAAGGATGGGGGCGCAGCGTGAAGGTCACACAGCAGCCAGTCCGTGTGAGGGAGGGAGGCAGCCAGACCAGAGATAAGGCTTTGTGATCTGTGACCTCCCCTCCCGTCAGAACTGCAATTATCCTTTCACACGTGGTGGCAATGACAGCACAGCCTTCGGTAGCTGACAATACTTCTGAAAAACTTTCTCCCAGGACTCATTACCAAATCCAATTACAAGTTTGTGAGTATCTCCAAAGAGACTGTTGTCTGCTTTAGGAGGGGCTCTTACTTTTCACGATCCCTGATGGCAGAGAGGGGCTCACAGGGAAGGAGCAGGAAATACTGATGTCAGACAACTAAGGGACTGGCAATGAGTGTGTGTGTCTCACAGGCGTCCCCAATTCCTGGCGTCCCCGATACCTGGTGGTGCTCTGGTGGGAAGGGCAAATCCCCAGGAGCAGAGTGGGGCCCGGGAGGTTCTTGGGCCACACAGGGAGAAGCGGTTCCACTGCTGGAAGGACACTTGGTAGAGGCTGTGAGGCCACCTGGGCCCAGCAGACCCCAGACAATGGTCGCATTCGCTGGTGCTGAACAAGGTCATTAAGGGTGAAGCCTGGTGCCAGATGTGTGCTGTGATTTTCCATAATCCCTGAAATGCTGCTGCTACACTATCTCGTGAACTTTTTCTGGGGCGGGCTGGCGATCGGCCATTGCTCGGTGAGACCCTCCAATGAGTCAAAGCCGCAGTACCTCAGAAGTGGGGGGCCGGGGAAGGAAGTCGCATCTGAGACCAAACTCAGGAGAGAGGTACTACCTGGGGCTTGGTCAGAGACAGCATAAAAGTGGGGAGTGAATGAAAGCTGAAGACAAAGGACAGGTGAGCGATTGCTGATCAGGGAGAAGAGAGTTCCAATACTAGAGACTGGGTAGCTGGGTGACGCCATTTTCACCGCTCCTGCACATGCGCAAAGCCACCTACAAGCGCCACAACAATCCACCCCAATAGGCTGGTGGCGCCAACTAGGGGACAATGGAGCCATTACACTAAGCCCCAGGGCTTAGTGCCCACTAATCAGGGGCACTTGGGTGGCTCAGTAGGTTGAACGTCCAACTTCGGCTCAGGTCATGATCTCGCAGTCTGTGAGTTCGAGCCCCGCACTGGGCTCTGTGCTGACACCTCAGAGCCTGGATTCTGTGTGTCTCTCTCTCTCTATGCCCCTCCCCTGCTCATGCTCTGTCTCTCGCTCGCTCTGTCAAAAGTAAAAAACATTTTAAAAAATTTAAGAATTAGAGAAATCAGTGACTCATCAAAAAGGAACAACATCAGAATCATAGGGGTCCCAGAAGATGAAGAGAGAGAAATATGGGTAGAAGGGTTATGTGAGCAAATCATAGCTGAAAACTTTCCTAAACTGGGGAAAGACACAGACATCAAAATCCAGGAAGAACAGAGGACTCCCATTAGATTCCACAAAAACCGACCATCAACAAGGCATATCATAGTCAAATTCACAAAATACTTAGGCAAGGAGAGAATCATGAAAGCAGCAAGGGAAAAAAAGTCCTTAACCTGCAAGGGAAGACAGATCAGGTTTGCAGCACACCTATCCACAGAAACATGGCAGGCCAGAAAGGAGTGGCAGGATATATTCAGTGTGCTGAATCAGAAAAATATGCAGCCAAGAATTCTCTACCCAGCAAGGTTGTCATTCCAAATAGAAGGAGAGAGAAAAAGTTTCTGAGACAAACAAAAGTGAAAGGAGTTTGTGACCACTAAACCAGCCCTGCAAGAAATTTTAAGGGGGACTCTGTGATGGGGAAAAAAGATGAAATTAATTAATTTAATTAAATACCAAAAGCAACAAAGACTAGAAAGGACCAGAGAACACCACCAGAAACTCCAACTCTACAAGCAACGTAATGGCAATAAATTCTTATCTTTCAGTACTCACTCTAATATCAATGGCCTCAATGTTCCAATCAAAAGATACAGGGTAACAGAATGCATAAGAAAACAAGATCCATCTGTATGCTGTTTACAAGGGACCCACTTTAGACCTAAGTCCTTTTGTGTCTTTAGACCTAAAGACACCTTCAGATTGAAAGTAAGGAGATGGAGACCCATCTATCATGCTAATGGTCAACAAAAGAAAGCCGGAGTAGGCGTACTTATATCAGACAATCTAGACTTTATTTTTTTTTAATTTTTTTTTAACGTTTTATTTATTTTTGAGACAGAGAGAGACACAGCATGAACGGGGGAGGGGCAGAGAGAGAGGGAGACACAGAATCCGAAACAGGCTCCAGGCTCCGAGCCATCAGCCCAGAGCCCGACGCGGGGCTCGAACTCACGGACCGTGAGATCGTGACCTGGCTGAAGTCGGAAGCTTAACCGACTGCGCCACCCAGGCGCCCCAAGACTTTAAAATAGAAACTGTATCAAGAGATGAAGAAGGGCATTACATCATAATTAAGGGGTCTATCCACCAAGAAGATTTAACAATTGTAAACATTTATGCACCAAACGTGAAAGAACCGAAATATATAAATCAATTAATCACAAACATAAAGAAACTCATTGATAGTAATACCATAACAGTAGGAGACTTCAACACCCCACTCACAGCAATGGACAGATCGTCTAATCAAAAAAATCAACAAGGAAACAATGGCTTTGAATGACACACTGGACCTGATGGACTTAACAGTTACATTCAGAACATTTCATCCTAAAGCAGCAGAATATACATGCTTCTCCAGTGCACATGGAACGTTCTCCAGAATAGACCACATACTGGGACACAAATCAGCCCTCAGCAAGTACAAAAAGATCGAGATCATACCGTGCATATTTTCAGACCACAATGCTATGAAACTTGAAATCAACCACAAGAAAAAATTTGGAAAGGTAACAAATACTTGGAGACTAAAGAACATCCTACTAAAGAATGAATGGGCTACGGAAGCAGTTAAAGAGGAAATTAAAAAGAATATAGAAGTCAATGAAAATGATAACACCACAACCCAAAACCTCTGGGATGCAGCAAAGGAGGTCATAAGAGGAAAGTATACAGCAACCCAGGCCTTCCTAAAGAAGGAAGAAAGATCTCATATACACAACCCAACCTTACACCTTAAAGAGCTGGAAAAAGAACAGCAAATAAAACCAAAAACCAGCAGAAGTCAGGAAACAATGAAGATTAGAGCAGTAATTAATGTGATCGAAACGAAAAAAGAAATAAAAAAACAGAATAGATCAATGAAACCAGAAGCTGGTTCTTTGAAAGAATTAACAAAACTGATAAACCACTAGCCAGTTGGATCAAAAAGAAAAAGGAAAGGACCCAAATAAATAAAATCAAGAATGAAAGAGGAGAGATCACAACCAACACAACAGAAATAAAAACAATAGGAGAATATTATGAGCAATTATATGCCAATAAAATAGGCAATCTGGAAAAAATGGACAAATTCTTAGAAACATATACACTACCAAAATTGAAACAGGAATAGAAAATTTGAACCCATAACCAGTAAGGAAATCAAACTAGTAATCAAAAACCTTCCCCAAGGGGTGCCTGGGTGGCTCAGTCGGTTGAGCATCCGACTTCAGCTCAGGTCATGATCTCACAGTCCGTGAGTCCTAGCCCTGCGTTGGGCTCCATGCTGTCAGTTCAGAGCCTGGAGCCTGCTTCAGATTCTGAGTCTCCCTCTCTCTCCCTGCCCCTCCCCTGCTCACGCTCTGTCTCTCCATATCAAAAAAATGAATAAACGTTAAAAAAAATTTTTTAATTAAAAAAAAAAAAAAAAACCTTCCCCAAAACAAGAGTCCAGGGCCAGATGGCTTTCCAGGGGAATTCTACCAAACATTTAAGAAGAGTTAACACCTATTCTCTTGAAACTGTTCCAAAAGAATAGAAACGAAAGGAAAACTTTCAAACTCATTCTATGAAGCCAGCATCACCTTGATTCCAAAACCAGACAGCAACCCCACTAAAAAGAGGAATGACAGACCAATTTCCCTGATGAACAAGGATGCAAAAATCCTCAACAAGATATTAGCCAACTGGCTCCAACAATACATTAAAAAAATTATTCACCATGACCAAGTGGGATTTATACCTGGGAGGAAGGGCTGGTTCAATATCTGCAAAACAATTAACGTGATTCATCACATCAATAAAAGAAAGGACAAGAACCATATGATCCTCTCAATAGATGCAGAGAAAGCATTTGACAAAATACAGCACCCTTTCTTGATAAAAACCCTCAAGAAAGCAGGGATGGAAGGATCATACCCGGAGATCATAAAAGCCATGTATGAACGAGCCAATGCTAATATCATCCTCAATGGGGAAAAACTGAGAGCTTTCTCCCTAAGGTCAGGAACAAGAAACGGATGTCCACTCTCACCACTGTTATTCAACATAGTGTTGGAAGTCTTAGCCTCTACAATCAGACAACACAAAGAAATACAAGGCATCCAAACAGGCCAGGAGGAGGTCAAACTTTCCCTCTTCACAGATGACATGATACTCTATATGGAAAACCCTAAAGATTCCACCAAAAAAACTGCTAGAACTGATTCATGAATTCAGCAAAGTGGCAGGATATAAAATCAATGCACAGAAATTGGTTGCATTCCTCTACACCAACAATGAAGCAACAGAAAGAGAAATCAAGGAATCGACCCCATTTACGGTTGCACCAAAAACAACAAAATACCTAGGAATAAATCTAACCAAAGAGGTGAAAAATATATACACTGAAAACTATAGAAAGCTTATGAAAGAAACTGAAGACACAAAAACATGGAAGAAGATTCCATGCTCCTGGAGAGGAAGAACAAATATTGTTAAAATGTCAATACTACCCAAAGCAATCTATATATTCAATGCAATCCCTATCAAAATAACACCAGCATTCTTCACAGAGCTAGAACAAATAATCCTAAAATTTGTATGGAACCAGAAAAGACCCCGAATAGCTAAAGCAATCTTGAAAAAGAAAACCAAAGCAGGAGGCATCACAATCCCAGACTTTAAGCTACACTACAAAGCTGTAATCATCAAGACAGTATGGTACTGGCACAAGAACAGACACTCAGATCAATGGAACAGAATTGAGAACC